CACCCCAGTCACCCTTCCCATCCTAGTCATCCTAGTCATCCTAGTCACCCCAGTCATCCTAGTCATCCTTGTCACCCCAGTCATCCTAGTCACCTTACACATCCTAGTCACCCTGGACATCCCAGTCACCCTAGTCATCCTAGTCATCCTAGTCACCCCAGTCATCCTAGTCATCCTAGTCATCCTAGTCACCCTAGTCACCCCAGTCATCCTAGTCACCCTAGTCACCCTAGTCATCCTAGTCACCCTAGTCATCCTAGTCATCCTAGTCACCCTAGTCATCCTAGTCACCCTAGTTATCCTAGTCACCCCAGTCATCCTAGTCACCCCAGTTATCCTAGTCACCCCAGTCATCCTAGTCACCCCAGTCATCCTAGTCACCCCAGTCATCCTAGTCACCTAAGTCATCCTAGTCACCCTAGTCATCCTAGTCACCAAGTCATCCTAGTCATCCCAGTCACCCTAGTCATCCTAGTCATCCCAGTCATCCTAGTCACCCAAGTCATCCTAGTCAACCTAGTTATCCTTGTCATCATAGTCACTTCAGTCATCCTAGTCACTCCAGGTCATGCTAGTGACCCTAGTCATTCCAGTCATCCTAGTCATCCTAATCACCCAGGTCATCCTAGTCACCCTGGTCATCCTTCCCATCTTGGTCATCCTAGTCACCCTAATCAACCCAGTCATCCTAGTCACCCCAGTCACCCTTCCCATCCTAGTCATCCTAGTCACCCCAGTCATCCTAGTCATCCTTGTCACCCCAGTCATCCTAGTCACCTTACACATCCTAGTCACCCTAGTCATCCTAATCAACTCATTCATCCTAGTCATTCAAGTAATCCTAGTCACCCTAGTCATCTTAGTCACCCTAGTCACCCTAATCATCCTAGTCACCCTAATCATCCTCGTCACCCTAGTAATCTTACTCACCCAAGTTGCCCTAGTCATCCTAGTCACCCTCGTCATCCTAGTCAAACTAGTCACTCTAGTTATCCCAGTCATCCTACTCACTCTAGTCACCCATCACCCCGGTCATCCAAGTCATCATAGTCACCCCAGTCACCCTAGTCACCCTAGTCATCCTAGTCACCCCAGTTATCCTAGTCACCCGAGTCATCCTAGTCACCCTAGTCATCCCAGTCACCCTAGTCACCCGAGTCATCTTAGTCACCCTAGTCACCCAAGTCACCCTAGTCATCCTACTCATCCTAGTCATTCTAGTCAAAATAGTCATCCTAGTCATCCCAGTCATTATAGTCATCCTAGTCACCCTAGTCATCCTTGTCATCCTAGTGATCCTAGTCACCCCGCTCATCCTAGTCATCCTAGTCACCCTAATCATCCTAGTTCAGCCATCCTAGTCACCTTAGTTATGGTCATGCTAGTTATCCCCATCCTAGTTATCCTAGTTATTGTAATCATCCAAGTAATCCTAGTCACCCTAGTCATTCCCAGTCATCATAGTCACCCTAGTCACCTTAGTAATCATAGTTACCCCAGTCATCCTACTCACCCTAGTGATCCTAGTCAACCCAGTCATCTTAGTCACCGTAGTCACTCTAGTCATAGTAGTCATCCTAGTCACTCCAGTTATCCTAATCACTCGTCATCCTACTCATCCCAGTCATCCTACTCATCCCAGTCAACCTAGTCACCCCAGTCATCCTAGTCACCCTAGTCATCCTAATCACCCTACCCTAGTCATCCTAGTCACCCCAGTTATCCTAGTTAACCCAGTCATTCTAGTCACCCTAGTCATCCCAGTCATCTTAGTCACCATAGTCACCCTGGTCATACTAGTCACCCTAGTCACCTAAGTCATCCTAGTCACCCTAGTCACCCCAGTCATCCTAGTCTCTAAAGTCACCCACGCTAGTCACTCTAGTAATCCTAGTCATCCTACTCACTCTAGCCATTCTAGTCACCCGTCACCCTAGTCATCCCAGTCATCATAGTCAACCCAGTCATCATAGTCACCCCAGTCATCCTAGTCACCCTAGTCATCCCAGTCACCCTAGTCACCCTACCCTAGTCATCCTAGTCACCCCAGTCACCCTAGTCACCCTAGTCATCATAGTCACCCAAGTCACCCAAATCATCCGAGTCATCCTAGTCACCCTAGTCACCCCAGTCATCCTAGTCACCCTAGTCACCCTAGTCATCCCAGTCATCCTAGTCACCCCAGTCATACTAGTCACCCTAGTTATCCTAGTCACCCCAGTCATCCTAGTCACCCTAGTTATCAAAGTCACCCTAGTCACCCGAGTCATCTTAGTCACCCTAGTCACCCTAGTCATCCTACCCATCCTAGTCATTCTAGTCACCATAGTCATCCTAGTCATTCCAGTCATCATAGTCATCCTAGTCACCCTAGTCATCCTTGTCATCCTAGTGATCCTAGTCACCCCACTCATCCTAGTCATCCTAGTCACCCTAATCATCCTAGTCCAGCCATCCTAGTCACCTTAGTTATGGTCATGCTAGTTATCCCCATCCTAGTTATCCTAGTTACTGTAATCATCCAAGTAATCCTAGTCACCCTAGTCATCCCAGTCATTCCAGTCATCATAGTCATCCTAGTCGCCCTAGTCATCCTTGTTATCCTAGTGATCCTAGTCACCCCACTCATCCTAGTCATCCTAGTCACCCTAATCATCCTAGTCCAGCCATCCTAGTCACCTTAGTTATGGTCATGCTAGTTATCCCCATCCTAGTTATCCTAGTTACTGTAATCATCCAAGTAATCCTAGTCACCCTAGTCATCCCAGTCATTCCAGTCATCATAGTCATCCTAGTCACCCTAGTCATCCTTGTCATCCTAGTGATCCTAGTCACCCCACTCATCCTAGTCATCCTAGTCACCCTAATCATCCTAGTCCAGCCATCCTAGTCACCTTAGTTATGGTCATGCTAGTTATCCCCATCCTAGTTATCCTAGTTACTGTAATCATCCAAGTAATCCTAGTCACCCTAGTCATCCCAGTCATCATAGTCACCCTAGTCACCTTAGTAATCATAGTTACCCCAGTCATCCTACTCACCCTAGTGATCCTAGTCACCCCGTCATCTTAGTCACCGTAGTCACTCTAGTCATAGTAGTCATCCTAGTCACTCCAGTTATCCTAATCACTCGTCATCCTACTCATCCCAGTCATCTTACTCATCCCAGTCAACCTAGTCACGCCAGTCATCCTAGTCACCCTAGTGATCCTAGTCACCCCGTCATCTTAGTCACCGTAGTCACTCTAGTCATAGTAGTCATCCTAGTCACTCCAGTTATCCTAATCACTCGTCATCCTCCTCATCCCAGTCATCCTACTCATCCCAGTCAACCTAGTCACCCCAGTCATCCTAGTCACCGTAGTCACTCTAGTCATCCCAGTCATCCTAGTCACCCCAGTCATCCTAGTCACCCTAGTCATCCTAATCACCCTACCCTAGTCATCCTAGTCACCCCAGTTATCCTAGTCACCTCAGTGATCCTAGTCATCCTAGTCATGCCAGTCATCCTAGTCACCCTAGTCATCCTAGTCACCCTAGTCATCCTAGTCACCGTAGTAATCCTAGTCATCCAAGGCACCCTAGTAGTTATCCTAGTCACCCTATTCATCCTAGTCCAGTCATACTAGTCATCCTAGTCACCTTAGTTATTCTGGTCATCGTAGTTATCGCCATCCTAGTTATCCTAGTCATCCCAGTTACCCATGCAATCCCTATAGTTATCTTAATTATCCTAATCATTCTAGTCTTCCCCGTAATCTTAGTTCTCTTGGATATATTAATTTGCTTTTCTTTATCAGTGTACACATTTTTTATAGTCAGTACTGGCTCTAGTTGTTCAGAAGCTGGATAGAACTATCCATTAGATAAACCACTATTCACTGGATATAAATATTAGGGAAACCAATTGCGTTATTCAGTGGATAGAGATTAATTTTATCTAGTGGATAGCGCTAAACAAAATAGAGAAATGCACCCAATGATAATTGTTGCCTGTGAAAAATTGACATGTATTTGATAAGATTTCTAGCAAATTTTGCGGTACTTTGTGTGTTTTTATGAATTTTGCGGGATTTTGCTGATTTACCTGAATTTTTGCGGCTTCACGACAGTGCAATATATCAGAAGCCCTGTTGTTTGAACTTTATAGCAACTAACAATAATCTCACAATTCCACAATTCCACAAACAATGCAGAGTAAACGAGCCTAGGTTACCATTGTTTCACGCGTTTGAATAGGCCCACTGCAAAAAATACCATAATATTGTCAAAATTGTACTTTAAGTAGTACTTACTCTTCAAAGTAACAACTGTCAGCACCTAGTTAAGCATCTAATCTGTTGACCCATTACACTTCAGACTTACGACTGCAACAAAACAAAACAAAAAACATTAAAAGAGATGTAAATTAAGTAGTTACAGCCATGTCTAAACTACTAAGAGATTAAAAAAGACGGGGTGTAGTTGAAGAATGGAATAAGGGAACTGACTGGTCAGCTAAAGTCCTAAACTTCGCCACAACATGTTAAAGGGCTCAATCTCGCAGCCAAACCAACACTAGAAGCTGGTATAATTTTTATACAGTTTGTACAAGAAGTCTCAATAGAAGTTTGAGAAACTTGTTGGGTCTTTAGATCTGTTTATAAAGTATAGTTCCTATGTAACTGGCTCTCTGCATGTACTGTAGACAGAAAGCCTTCTTGATGCTATAATTAGCAAACAATGCTTGGAGTTGAGGATTGGAGAAATTTAAACAACTTGTGCACACGTGGCAAGGTATTGTCAAACATTGTCTAAAATCCTTTTTAATAACTGGGCCTTAGAAGTAACCGAGGAGTTCTTCCGTTTTTTCTAACATGCGCAAATGGTTAGACATTCTAGTCTTCTCAGATGAAGATAAAAACTGTAGTCCCCAGGCAGTAACAAGCACTTCAACCAATCTGACTCTTGTTGGGCTAAAAAAAGAGCAATTCACTGGCAGACTAGACACCTTAGACTCCAGCAGTGACCAGCCCTGGTCCCAGTTGTTAAAAAGGTGGATAGCATAGTTATTGGTTTCCCTAACACTTATTCACAGGACAGCATTTTATCCAGAGGGTAGTGGTAGTGCTATCCAATGTTTGAATGACCAGGGTCTGGTGTTTATCTTTCCATAACTAAGGAATGGGTACAAAGGGGAGGGTACCTCACCTGAGACCTAAGAGTCCTTACCCCCGTTTTCTATTTGTATTTGGCAGGTCTGTGCCCAGAAAAACTAGCAAATAAAGGAAGGAGAGAGGAATGGGAGCCATTTGAAGGGAAAAAAGTTACATTGTGTGGTTCCAAAAATTATCCATACCTCCACCATGGAAGGGATTTTTCCTTGGACCCCCCACCTCTCCGGAAATTCCAGTCAAGCTTCATACATTTACTTAAAATTTTTGGGCCTTTGAGAACCCCCCACCCCTAGGAATTTCCAGTCCCTTCTGTGGGGGTAGTATGGATATTTTGGGGGACTAAACATTGTAGTCACTAAAAAAAGGTTTAAAAAAGTTTAAGACAAAATCCACCAGGATATTGAGTATGTTAATTTTCAGTAGACAAAAACCTTGCTCCAGAATAATTAAAACAATATTGCATTCTTAATATCATAGGTGACGAATTACTCCTTAATTTTGGCAAGAAATTTCAGTG